ATTGTGAAATGCCCCATGTGCTGGTTTATTAGGGCCAAGGAGTGAATTGGGCCAAATACTTATCCCACATCTCTGGGTCCCACCTAAATAGTAGAAGTCTACAGCAAAACAACAACCGCCTGCCTCTTTCCACACGTCCATCACCCCGCCCCGACCAAGTCCCGAATGTCGCAACCCATGGACGCACACGGTAAGCCCGTACTCAGACCATTTCAGAGTACAGCACAGGACTGAAAATGATTTGTTGCCGCTTATTTCACGTTATTAAGATCCTATCTATACCAGTTCAAACGCCATACATGGGCATCTTCATCGTTCGGGATCGCCTGAGCCAGCTAGCTTGCAGCCAACACGTACTCCGACAACCTCATCTTGGGCACCACTTTTTGCTCGTTTTCGCAAGGGCACCCAGGATAGCAAGGGTAGCAAGCGAAAGTCTTCGATAGCACAGTCGCTCATGAAGCCACGGAAACCGGTCGGCAAAGCTCCTGGTATAGGACATGCATTGAAAGCAATCCTGTTTGCTTCTTGTGGGCAATTTTTTATTGTTATTGTTGAAGTGTAATGCTAAATTGGCTTGCATATGACAGGGTTAAACGTTCTACTGCTTTGCATCCCCGTTTCAGTAGGTATCTCTCAATAAAAGATACTTGTAAATGCTCAAACTCGCCTCACTCAGTGGGCAATGCATTTTGCATTGCCAGATAATGACGTTCTCATATTCGTCAGTGAGTGACGGCTGGAATCCACTCTAAATGAACCGCTCCACTCAGTCATATGTCTAGTGTCATTCCTTGCAATCATTCCCCTTGCAAAGGCATGATTTCTCCACCGAATTTCATTGCCTTTGTCATTCATCTGACTAACATTGCAGCTTTTGGGTTTGGCGACCGATGAGATGTCGATGCGAGTTGGGCAAACTCTCGCTGGCCTTCTGAATGCCACGCTAGTACGTTTCACTTCCTGTCTTGATTTGCCTATTTGACACTTTCCATTCCACACCCTTTTTCGTAGGGTAACGCGTAAGTGCTCGCTCCTAATTCGCAACCTTAACGACTTCGCTGACAGGAACATTTTCACAATTGTTCATTTCTCATTCGACAGAGTTGAACTGATTGTGGCAGTAAGTGCCGTTAACTTTTTCACATCTTGAGTGACCCATTCCTGGTTCACACTCAATACGGCCTTGCATTAATTGTGTCTATACCGTGTTCTAGATCATTGCCATTATTAAATGCGAGCTTCAAATCGTCCAATCGTCGCGTGAGTTTGCTGCAATTTAACATTTAGAATTGAATCTGAATCACTATACACACTCGTGCTATCCTATTCAGTTGTGGGGTCAATTCTGAGCAATCTATGTATGTTCATCAGTGTATCTGTGATGCTTGTGCAAACTCCGATTGGTGTTCTGCCAAATTAGTGTTGGTCCTGGGAATGTGTTTTTTTGCTGGAGGAATGAGGTTCCAAGAACAAGGATTTGGTGCAAGTATGTCATTTTCGCACTCGGGAATTACTATTCTTGGATAGTGGGCGTCTACTGACTGATATTCTTCTGACACTTTTTCGTAATTTGTTCCTTGTCTGGGCGATACTGTGGGGTAATTGCTTTGGTTCCGTGATTGGCGCTCGTCCCTGTGCTTGATTCTTCTTGGCCGCTATGTCGATCCCTTGGGACTTACCACTGCTTGGCAATGACGTTTATCAAATCTTCTTGCATCGGTCTGTTGATGCTGTAGGCGCCAGCCAGATCAACTCGTCCTTATTGACGCTCAGCGTTATTGCTGTGCTTCTACCCGGTGAGTCTTCCACTCGTCTCCCTTTTTCGGACCACTCCATTCTTATAAATCTTCCTCGCTTAGCTGCATTCCATTTTGCTGTCCAACCTGATGCGTCTGACCCAAGCGAAGATCCGTTAACAAATCCGCAGGAAGCGGCGGATATCACGAAACTTAGTCATGGTGTCGCAATCATCCTCCTTTGCAGTGCGTTCGCTGTTATACCTGAAAATTCGTTTGATCTGACACTCCGATAAAGTCTATGTGTCTTATCTTATCTTCCAACTATGGTCGCATGCATCACTTTACCAGGCAAGTCGCACTCGTCAGTCTTGGTTGATGATTTACTTATTTCGGTGTCATGGGTTAGGACAACCATGAAACAACCTTCAAGTCGACACGGCACGATGAGGGCGTGTCAGCGTCTGCTGTTGTCCACAAGTTAAGAAGTAGAATGCATATTCGTCATCATGACGGTGACGAAGAGAAGACAGCTGAGACGGGTAATGGTAATGCAAATGGAAGCGTAGTAAACAGCGAGACAACGCATGCTCCAGATGCCAATTTGGCGGAGTCTCAGCCAATCAAGGAGGAAGAAGAAGAGGTGGAGACGCCGAATATGAGTTTCCCCATGTGCATTGCATTGTTGGTAGTCGTCACAGTGGTGCGTCCTGGTGCTTTTCCCTCGATATCGTTTCTCCACCTCACGCAACGCACAGCTTGTTGCAGTTACCGCGGAATTCCTCGTTGATAGTATTGACGGTGTCACACAACAAAGCGGTCTTCGCAAGGAATGGGTTGGTCTCATCTTACTCCCGATTGTTGGCAATGCAGCGGAACACGTCACTGCCGTCATGGTCTCGGTGAAGGATAAGCTTACTCTAAGTATTGGAGTTGCTGTTGGTTCGAGTATCGTAAGTCCATGGTGAATGTGCGTGCAGGAGAGTTACTAATTTAGTTTTTGTTCCTCCCAGCAAATCGCGCTTTTCGTCATACCGTCAGTTGCATTGTGACTCTTGTGGAGAACTCATGGTTGAATCGATCCCCTTTAGGTTAATGGTCGTTATTGCATGGGGCCTAGGAAAGCCCCTTTTACTTCTCTTCGACCCATTTGAATCAGTAGTGCGTATACCTCGTTGCGCTAACCGGTCACTTGACTGACAGTATTGACGTTTGTAGACGCTGTTCCTTGCGGTGATTACGGTAAACTACTGTGTACAAGACGGAAAGGTACAGTCCTCGTGTTTCGTGAAGGTGTCGCTTATCTTCTGACCACCTGACGTCCTTAGTCAAATTGGCTGGAGGGAATGATCCTCATGTGTATGTCCAAATTTTCATCTCGCGTATGCACATTGACGAACATACCCCACTTCGTTTAGGTCTATATCTCATCATTGCCGTTTCATTTTGGTTCTATCCAGGAAGGTGAGTGCCACGTCGGATATTGCGTGGGAGTAACCACGCATTGCCGCCGCCGTACATTACAGCTTCCATTTTACTCACACGTTTCTTTCATTTCCCTTTCACAGTGAAGTCGCTGCTGTCCTTGCGCAGTGCAAGTAGAACCGAAATACGCGTGTTTTACACATTGTGCAGTTTCGTCAAGCGTCGCCTATTCCTCAGACTGCTGTACCATACATGCTCTCCCTTTCTTTTACCCATATACCCTCCAAAGATCGAGGATCGAGATAGGACCTTCGAACACTGTCGGTTGCACTGTGTAAATAGTAGAACATTTCGTCACACTCATTTTGCTTGTCGCTCCTTATCATTTCTCATACCCTCCCTCAGCTAATCTGACGTCTTTGGGTTCTCAAATTCATTGGGTAGCACGGTACAGCATTTTAATTTTAGTTTTGAATGTTTGACCGCTCACATTCTCAATGTTGCACCTACGACCCGTTATAACAATACGGCGATTCCTTACACTATCTTCACATATACGATTCTCTTTTCCTATTACCCTTATCTCTGACTGTCATCATATCCCCACTTTACTTGGTTTATTCTCTTGTAGGTCTTGCTTTACATGTATCCCTAGTCAAAATGGTTTTCGCTTGATGGTTATAAATTGGTCTAGCTTTCCCTTCCCTAGTTCTTCATTCTTGCTTTCTACTCTCCCTTGTATACATTTTGGGTAGATAGGATACCTCTCACGTCTCAAAAATTCCAGTTCGTCCGAGTGAAGTTATATTTTCCCTATTACCAGATTTCATGGTTGAACGAAACAAATCATGGAGCACGTCAATCCAAGTGATGACAATACGGCATGGATTTCGAGAAGTATTATATGAATGCACTGTTAATCGTAGTACAAATGAGTCAAGATTGAAGATAAGTCTCTTATTACAGTTTCGCTTTTGCAGACACTGAAGGTGAGAGTGTCGCACCCGCCGCAGCCAAAACGGTCGTCCCGCGTTCTTTGACTTTCGTTGCTGTCCAAGAAAAATTCCATAAGCGACTGAAACGAAGCAGAGGATAGTATCGAAAAGGCAGTGAATCACGTACTGAAGATCACCTTATTTCCCTCCTTCCACAGCTCCGTGACAAGTGTCTCACCGGGGTACACGACTCCCGCGAAGCTATGAAATCGGTGATGATCGGGATGGTAACATCAGCACCATCACCACGGTAGGAACATTCGGAAAGCGTGTTAAAGGTAAGTATCTAGAAGGGGAGTCATACGTACCGAACTTTGATATCATCGTACGGACCGAACGTCTTGAGAATGTGTTTGCCTGAAATACCCATCGAACACAGGCCTGTAATACAGTGTTACACACAACGTGAGCATTGAGGTCAAACTAATACGTAGCAATTAGGTGGCGCGTACCATGAAGAATAGGTCTGTCGAATCCACCAACAGCAGCAAACTCCGGAAGGATCTAAAGAGGTTAGGAGGGGCCGCATTAGAATGACTCGTGCGTTACAGGGCCGTGAATTCCGTACATGTAGGGGGTTCAAGTCACCGCTCAGTCTGAAAATCGCCATACATGAATCAATCGAAGACCCAGTAACGAGTATCCGAAGCTGTGGGAAAGGTGGCGTACCGATACAGCGCAGCCTGTGACGGGCTCGTCTTCTCTTCGACAACGGCATCGGGTGCGCGTTTCGGCGGTGTATTTGCCGCTGTAGCTGGCCCTCGATCTTCACAGGTGAAAGGTTTTTCACAGTCAGCCTAAATCGGTTCGTCGTTATAACTCAGACGAGTTGAGCCCTACCTGATCCAGTTTTCTTTCCTCCGAATCCACCGCTTCCTCGTATGAAGACAGTGGACTGGTTCTCGAAGACGACTTTCCCGGAAGCCTGGTCGATAGTCTCAACTATCGATGTAACAGCTGCTGCTTTGCCTTTATCAAGCACTTCCAGGAGTCTGAGTCACACCGCGCAGTCAGCAATAAATTAAAAATGCTAGCAACCTTTTCCTTCGCACCTCGGTTTACTAATCATCTTCCCACTTGTCGGGATCGGACCTTTGATTGCAAGGTACTGCTCGCCATGAAGTAATTTTGCCTGCATGTAAAAAATCAGCCACCCTTCGCGTCCTTTAATCCTCGGAACAGTAATTTTCACACACAGGGTTGAAATTCGGAAGCCAATCAAGGGGCACTGACGAACTCGCAGGGAATTGAGGGACGACGCCGAAAGTCGGTAGTGCTGAGAAGGAATCATGGTTCTCGAAGACCCATTGCAGCTCCGTCGCCTCTGCACCGATACCGAGATTGTACAGAATGACATCGCGTTCGGTATAGTTGAATTCATACGGCTCGAGTTCTTCCTTCTTCGCGTTCGCAACAAGTTCTGAGTCCTCGGAGTCAGCATATGTGCTGGAACCGCTGCCAGTATCAGACCCGTCGTTTGAGAAGTTCTCAATGATCTGATCAAAAAAGCTGAGCGGAATGATCCATTGGTAGAGGGTATGAATGACCTAACCTGCTGGATTGCTTCCTGTGTCGTCGTTGGCTGCGTTGCACGTCCATCATCTGCATACACTATCAGAACACTGATATTGCCTGATAAATTACATTGTCTAATTCACCGAAGTTCGTGAAAACGTTCCACTTGTCGATGATTGCCTCAGGGGTCAAGGGCTTATTCACGGGGAATCCGTGACCACCTGCACGTTGCCAGCGAGTTTGCGCCGCCCAGCCACCTGACACTTCAAAGAGGCCTCCAGACGTCTCCTCGTTTGCTATTGTTATAATCTTTTAGCGAGTCTTCCTAATACTCAGCTTCCAACCTTACCTTCGCTCGTCAAATAGCCGACCATAGGTGCGACATAATCCGGCTGCAAAAGATCAGTAAGGAAAGGCTCGGTATACGCAAGGACATTGACATTACTTTAAAGGCTTCAACCATCTCTTGAGGCCTGCCAAAGAGAAGTTTTAAGTCACTTGCATACCCACATGACGATCACTTGCATACCAGATTGTGCTAGTCATAGCTGTACCAGCCTGTGGTGCAAGACAGTTTGCTAGGATATTATACCGACTGCCCTCCAACGCAAGTGTGCGCGTCAAACCAAGAATTGCGGCTTTTGCCGTCGAGTACTATATTACAGCCAGGTTAGTTGGATCCAGTAATACTCAACATATCAAGAGATCGTACGTTTGCTTGTCCGAAATTGCCATCTAACAAGTAGTCAGAACTGGTTGAAATGGAAAGACACGGGTGATTGCTCACAAATGCCGACTTGAGAGCAAGTCGTCACAATACGGCCATACTTTTGCTTCTGGAAGACAGGCCAAACCGCTTTTGCGCATTTGTATGTTCCCCTGTGAATAGGTCAGTAGGAAAGGGAGAACCAGGAATATACAATACTCACCTGAGGTGGACGGCTATGACGGCGTCCCACTCTTGTTCCGACATCGCGGTAAACGACTTATCGCGCAAGATACCGGCATTCGCCACCAGAACATGGACAGAGCCAAACGCATCAAGTGCAACCTTGACGATTGCACCGGCGTCTTCGACGGAATGGACAGCAGGGACAGCCTGGCCTCCAGCTACTCAAACGTAAGTCTTATGCAGTTAGCAGAGTATTTGTACGAAACGCTATACCTTTACGTATCTCGTCCACAACAGAATTGGCATTTTTCTCACTAACATCGTTGATGACGAGGTTTGCACCGAGCCTAGAGTACATCAATGCGTAAGCACGTCCGAGGCCTGCTCCTGAGCCGGTAACGATGACCGTCTTGCCGTCGAAACGGACCTCCGGAGATGACTGAGGATTCGCCTTCTTTTTGCTCGTTGCCTCCTTCAGCTTTGACTGTATATAGTACATCAGTGATTAAGCAACCATGTGCATCGAGAACGTGGTCCTTACGATAGGATCAAAGTCTCTTAGGTGTGCCGGGTGATCTGCGCCCGCAAAGTCTGTAATTTCATCCCAACATTGTTTAATCGCACTAGGTGTGTATGATGGATCTATCCGGAATACGGCTCCTTTACTACGCTCCCAGCGAATCTCCGCGATGAAACCGGCTCCAACCTCGAAGACACGTCCTGACGCGTCAGGAGCGTCAGGGTGGCACAGTGCAGCCACGAACGGTGCAACGAACTCTGGTTTCAAGCCTGCAAGCATATCAGGTGGCATAATGGTTTCTGTCATCTTGCTTGCCGCCATCGGGGCTATAGTGCTCGCGCGGATATTGTATTTAGCACCTTCGAGCGCGAGAGTCCGTGAGAATGTAACGAGTCCCATCTTCGCTGCACTGTAGTTAGCCTGCCCAACATTTCCGTACAATCCAGCCGCGCTCGCAGTATTGATGATCCGGCCAAACCTTTGTTGGCGGAAAATTGGCCAGGCTGCTTTTGTACATGCGTATGCGCCCTTCAGGTGTACGAGAGTGACTAGGCCCCAATCTCCATCCGACATATTCTTGAACGCTTTGTCACGTAGAACTCCAGCGTTATTGATGAGAATTGTTACACCGCCAAATGCATCAAGTGCGGTTTTAATAACGGCAGCACCGTCGGCGACGGACGACGTGTTTACAACTGCCTTTCCACCAGCTAACGTACACGCCACAGTCAGCTCCAGTCTTCTCAGTCAGTCTACATTCTTTACGCACCCCTCGTGATTTCATCCACTACCTTCTGTGCAGCATCCTGACTGACGTCGTTGACGACGACGTTCGCGCCTCTAGCTGCGAAGAGAAGTGAATACCTTTCCATGTCAAATCAGACTTGGCCTTTCGTCACTAAGTAGCTGATTACGCACGCTTTGCCGAGGCCACCACCAGCGCCCGTAATAACAACAGTATGCCCTTTGAACGACAGTGACATTGTGTGCTCGAACAGAAAGTCGGCGAGGAATGTTGGGAAGAGCCAAGTTACCCGGACGCTTATAGCGCTTAAACGCTTCGCACGTGAAATTCAATCGGAAAGCACGGGATTTGTGTAGAATCAAATAGCCCTCCTCAATTCACTTGCGCAGGGGACTTGCGCGGGGGCTGCGGCACGAAGAAGACTGATGCCACGAGCAGCGCAAGTCCCTCAAGAATTGAGGATCAGACTTGCAGCAAGGATCGACTATCATTACTTAAGATACATAGCCCTTGATGTAGTAATGTTAATCTCCCAAATAAAGAAAGTTAAAGATTCATCTAAGACATGAGTGTCGTCACAAGGAAAAAAATGCATACAGTCAGTCCTCCTCAGTCTTGACCTCTAAGATGGAGCAGAACAACTCTCAGAATGCTGCACAACCACCCAGCCAACCTCAGACACCAGCTACTTTACTACAGGCATTACAATTACATGTACAAACACAGGCAGCAACTCACCAGATACAAATTCCTACCAGTTCTGAAGTACCTGCTTCTCCTAGTCCAGCTAGTTGTTCATGCTCCAAGCCCAGAGTTTCCAGACAATGCTAGAGCACTAGCAGCCTTAAATTTCCACATACATTAGCAAAACCAAGCCTAGACACAAAGTCTGGCTCACTAGCAGGTGTCTTCTAGCTCCTCAAGCTCTCATCCGACCCTACAATCCTCTACTCCAGCTCCTGAGGGCTCTAAGGCAGCAAAGGGCAAAGCTAAGGTGGAGAAGAAGTCAGTTGGCAGGAAGACTGGTAAAGGGGCACACTCTGGAAAAAATGTGCAAGTTTCTGGTCATTCTGAGTCAGAAATTGATCACCTCACCAAGGAGCAAAAAAATGATGCAGATATTGTCGAAATAACCAAAGTGAAGATGATAGCTACTTGGGATGACGAGTCGAGCATTAAATTAGTTGAGTTCATTGCTACTCCAGAGTGCTGGGCAAAAGTACAAGTTTCCTTGTGTAATTTTTGTTAAGAGGTGAGTTCTCTCCTCTCATCTACTTCATATTTTGTTTGCAGGCTTTCTCTGTCTTTGCAAGGTGCTACATAAATTTATATGGCTGTCCTACTCACCCTTATTGTGTTCTAGATTTCCCAGAACGTTCTTCCTGAGTATACAGCTGAACAGTACCTTAATCAGTAGCACTCTATATTTAGGCAATTCAAGGATACTAGACATAAGTCACTCTATCATTATACTATTTCACTTAGTGTTTACTATGTAATACAGGATGGGAAAAGTATACAGGGGGTAGGGATAGAGATGAGAGTGTAATAGACCTGTGGACTTTAGTTGTACAGTGTAAGAAGTTTGCAGAGGGACCCATTTATCCTATTATCCTTAGAGTGTAAGCTTTTATACCCATTTGATTCATACCAAAGAGACTTACCTGCCTGGTTATTTAGGGCAGAGGGCCAAGCTGATATAGACAGGTTTATAGAGTTCAGTTTGTTGCATAAATTTGAGGATGTTGAAGCAGAAATCAAGCAGGCAAAAGAAGAAGATAAGAAACAAAAGAAAGGAGATGCTACATCTGAATTCACAGCTATCATGTTGGAGGCCCTGTTTTCTCAACAAGAATGTTAAAAAGAATCTACTCAGCTTAATACTGAGCATTTTGTGTATGAAAGGGCTAAGGATGAGAAGGAGGAGGAAGTTTGCTGCAAGAGAATACAGTCTGAAGATTGGGCCACAAAGATACAGGAGATGTGGAATATGGAAGAATTGCATTGTTCAAAACTTGAGTAGTACTGTCAGATGCAAGACTCAGACAATCTAGTAGAGTAGGACCTGGCAGTCAACCTTACTAAGGAGATTCATAACATTGGTAACACTATTAGACATCTCTGTCATACTGAGTAGTAAGACTAGCTTGTATATACTTTAAGGAAGTAGAATTACAGTATCTTGTACAACAATACAGGCAAAATATGTAAGGATATGTTTCAAGGAAGGATTATAGTGTCTTGTGTAACAACACAGCAATATGCTTCAAGGAAGTAGGGCAGAGTGTATTAAATGTGTACAAATAAATCACTATGTAATTACATTAGAAATAGAACATACATTCATCAATCTGAAAGACCTAGTGCCTGAGTATATCACCTAGTGCCTAAAGTCCATCCATGTACTTTATAAGATGTTTACAACAATGTAATCCAGTACAATAGAGGTGTGTATCTACCATTTGATTGATTTCTCTTCTTATTCAGGCTGCTCCTTTGTCTGGGTCATTAATGTCTTGAGCAAAAATATTAGTATCCTCCTTACTATTATAATCCAAGATGTTAGTAGGATCATCATTAATATTAATAAGGATGTTATGAAGCACTAAAAGAGCTTCAATTGTTGTGTAAATGACATTAATATTAGTGTCTAGAAGGTACTGAAGGGAAGGAAAGCAGCCTTTAAGTATACTAAAGGTATACTCAATAGTAATGTAAGAATGTAAGAGTGTAAAATTAAAATAGTAGTAGCAGCAAGCCTCTTCCAGTTTGTTTGTAAGATCACTTTCAGTAAAAGGCTGTATAGTAAACTGTGTAAGAGGATAACCTGTTAATACAGTAATGTAAGAATGTAAGGTATTACACATTGAGATATAAAGTCAAAAAAAAACATACCCTTATCAGCCAAAAGAAATTCCTCCTTTGAAAAATGGTCTCCTTTGAATTGCCAGACACAAGAGTTACAGAACACAGTAGTATCCTACACATTTCCAGGCCATTCTAAGTCATAATAGGTAAAACATTTTTTGTTGTTACAGATTCCTTGTAAAGCAACCTTTACAATTCTATATACTTAAAATTAAGTATTAAAAGAAAGGAGAACATAAAAATAAACTCACAGTATAGAACTTCTTCCTACAGAAGTATTGAAACCAATCTTTCCTTAGCTTTGTAGTAAGAGGGATGAGGGATCCATCTAGTATACTAATACATCTAGGAAACCCTTTATTCTGCATCCTAATCTTTAGTACTTAACATTGCTCTCCTTCTGGCCAAGTAATAAAACAAGGATAGAGCCAGTAGAAAGTAGTAGTAACTCTTACACAATACAAGTATACTGTACCCTCTACAACTGATACCATCTCAGCAACCTTGATACATGTTAAGGATCTGTTATGTATAAGGAAGACAGTAAGCTGTATCCAAGGTAGTGCTTGTACTCTGTACATCAGAACATACATGTAGTTTCAACCATAGGATAAGACATGTAGGAACTCACTTTGTACCAGTAATTCTGAACACTTCATCATCCTTAATAAGATCAGTTAAGACCTTGAATGACTCACAGTTGACTCTAAAAGATGTATGACAGATGAGAGAGTATAGTAGTATGTATATGATTCATAACCTTAAGATTTACCTGAAGAATGATTTAAAAATCAAATCCAACATGTTATATAGTAAATTACTCAGGAAATCTTCTGAATAGGATGTGTCATATGGACCACAGTCTGAAGGACAAGCTTGAAGCAGTAAGCAATGAGCTTTGTATACAAGAAACATGCCTATGAGCAAATCCTTGTCTGTTTTAGTGTATAAAGTCTGGTAAAAAGTGAAAGATCCAATGTTTAAAGCATTTTGCATACTGTTATATACTAACAGGGCCATTTCAGAAGGAGAATGGAGAGTGTAAGATATGATAGAATGGATATATTTCACTTATTTCACACTTGTGCTCATTCTATGTGGTCACAGGACTGTGTTATTTACAGTGTTCTGTCATACTAATCATGATTTATGTTGGTTTTGGTGAGGGAATTCTTTGTTTATTTTAAACTCTAACACTTTGCAAGTCTGCACAAGCACTCAAGAGCACTTGTGCAAAATTGCACAGACTTGTACAGAGGGAACTACATAAGGTAGGAGTTAAGGTTTTAGAGTGTTGGTTCTTTTCCCTATACCAAGCTGCAAGTCTCCCTCACAAGTGAATTGAGGACAGCTAATATGTCTAATACCTGTTCCCTACTCACTATTAAAATCTAGTGGTTTGTAAAATACAAGCACTATACTATAAATATGATTTTTTAGTAAATGTACTGATTGGGTGCATGCATTCAGCTTGGCTTCATTCTTGGACATAAGACAACAGTGAATGCTTTCAAACTGATGAAAATGCTCAATTTACTTTTAGTGAAGATAAATGACAATACATGAGAGCACTATTCTGGTGGATTATCTACAATCACAGTACACCTTTCAAACTGAAGAGATTGCAGGGTACTGTGTTGCCATTTGAGTGTGTTCTGGAGATAATGTACTATTATAGTACTAGTATTACTGATTCTTACATTCTTACATTACTACTCTATTCTAACATTATAAAAGTAAACATTAAGTACAATATTATACATAGAAATGAGTCTTACAGCTCAGTAATAGTATTAACACTAAGAATCACATCTGAAATAACATGTTTTAAAAAGGTCTGAGATTGATTATGTTTAAATAGTGTGTATGAAATATTCTAGTATAAGATTTATATAAGACATTAATTTGACTACTAAACTGTACATTATTTGTTAGTATCTGTAATCTAGTTTGATGAAACAAAAAGGAATTGACATTGTATGACTCTCTGTATTACAAATTAATTTCAATTTGATTAAAAGTCTTAAACTATAAAGACTCTATTTTATATAATGTTTAGTTTATAGTTTGAAAACACTAATAATTCAATTACTATTACAGTTTAAGGTTACTTTCTTAAAGGCTAATCAAGAAGGAAAACAATTCAATAGTGACAGTAAATATTCTTTCAAGTAAAAGCTAGTCTTTAAGATAAAATACAAGTTAAGTATCTTTATAATACTTTAATTAGTTAATTTATTAAAAAATAAGTACAAGTGTAAAACTCAAATCTTTAATAATAAATACTAGAACAGTACTAGTAGAGTGCTGAACACTGAGCTCTAAGACTATAGAACATGTAAGGACTAACAGAACAAGGGTATCTTTGTTACAGTTAGTAAACAAGAACTGAGAGTTGGAACAGTACTGGTAGAGTACTAAATACTGAGCTCTAAGACTGTAGGATACACAAAGACTAACAGGACAAAGGTATCTTTGTTACAGTTAGTAAACAAGAACTGAGAGTACATGATAAGACACACCTTTGTTACAGTCAGTAAATAAG